GATTTTCTGATACTTCTTTGCTAACATACTGTGTTTGATATAGAACTGAAGATTTTCAGGATTTCTCGAACGACAGGTGGTAGAATGTGTTCCTGGTATAAAACTTCTACCAATAGATGCTACAGCTATCGAAACGCCATCGCATTTTGAAATAAACAATTTGGAGGTAATATTCGATGGCCTCTCTGTTTTCCACTACTCATATGCTGTTGTGATGCTCACTTGTGTAGAGATCGTTTGAGGGGACAAGTTTCTTTTTTCACGGTACTCTTATATCTCATCGCAATCTTCAATCACAAAATCAAACTTCGAGCATCATAAATTCGAATATACTTTCTATACCTTCTCGAGCGTTCCATACCTCACTTTTCTGTTCCATTTATTTAGAGCTTCCCAAAATAATTCAACGATGAGCTTATAGTTCACGATCCCATCTCTTTTTTTCAGAAACAAAAAACATTGAAAATTGCATTTTTGTCGCTTTGTTTATTTTTATTTTTTGATTCCAGACACAAGTAGGCGAGTTAGAGCTTGATTTCGTCTCGTTGAATAAAAACGACAGTTATATTAGGAAAAATCTGAATGAAATGCGAGAATTCCAATATGTCTTACAACGGGTGGAGCAATTTTTCGAAGTCGTGAGTTTGTTTCGAGTCGTTTATCCCGAGCGACTTATGGTGACTAGTGAATTTCAGCACATGGAAGATGAAGCAATGATCAACATCGAGGCTCCTGGCGCTGAGGTAACACCCATTGATTATTCGGAATGTAGGATGGGACTGATCAGTGAAATGAGACAAGATAGTCGCGAATCTGCTGATTTGAACGCCATAAAAACAGGATTTCCTTCTTTCGTTTTGAGTCGACCCAATATTGACTTTGGGATGGCCCCTAATAGAAGAATAAGTAATATGTCGACTAAGGGTAAATGGCGCCACTATCACGCGCAAGCTCCGAGTATCAAAATAGCATCCTACTTGTCTTTGTCCCAGAAATTTGTCATTCGAGCTGAAAACCGATTCAGAAGCTATCTCAATTCAGAATAAGAATTGTTCCTAATTTTTGCAGCAGGATTCGTTGAATAAGTCGATTAGCGCTGGTGGACATATTTCTGGTCAAAATGATGTACCGCTTACGCCCTTGCTCAACGATGAAAAAGGTGAAAATGCATGGTAAGCAAAAAACATTCTTTTGAAAACCTTCTCTACCTACACGGAAGATCGCATGGCACAAGCAAGTTCTCCATCAATTCCAGCGTGGTTATACCACACTTGAGTCTTTTCTGTCTCAGCCTCAAGCTAAATATAAAC